ATGCCCCCAATACCGTCATCCAAGTCATTAATAAAGATATTGAATTAATAAAGATATTGAATAGCACAATTTATGAAATGTTACATCCCTACTCCAGAATTTTTGGTCTTTCACTTCCAGAAGCTTCAGCCAGGATGCTAAGGAAGTACAAGAATTGCAGTCTAAAAAATCTGGAGGGCCATAGGATTTCCATATCTTTAGAGGCTTCTGGGTACTACATTTTAATCCTGAAAGAATCCAATTGATCTCTAGTTACCACTACTAAAGTCATGTATCCTTTGGTGGTGCACACACACACACACACACACACACACTTACTTATGGAAGATGTAGCCCAAGCTTATAACTTCACTTAAGCAGCACATCCTGCTTCAGTTGGGTTTAGCATTCCATGACCAGAATGTCAACAAACAGAAAGAAAACTAGTGTTCCTACTCAAATATCAGGTTTCTCAGGCTTGTAAACAGAGAACATTTCCAGGAAGTACACTTGTTGAACAGTTTTGTTTCTTTTTCCAGATGAGGCTGAAGAGACAGGCCAAAGGTATGACTTATGAACTTATGTGATGTGATTAGTGAAGGCTACCTGTTTCAATGGAATTGCATTTCACTCAGAACATTGAGACAGATGCATGGACAAGCCTTCTCAGTTTTCATAAGATGCTGCCATGAGAATAATCTCCAAATAGCTATTAGTTCCATCACATCAAAGGTGGGAAACCCATGGGTTCTATGAGTCTCTGATGTCCATCACCACCCAAATCCACCACAGGGACATCATGATGGAAACTAACATGGTTTCAGACACTTCTGAAGTCTCCATGGTTCTGTAGTTTTGTAATAATTATTATTATTTCTATCCCGCCCCTCTGCAGAAGCGGCTTACAACAATAAAATACCACAATGTACACCCCCAAACCCGCCCACCCCTTAAAATAGTATTAAACATCAAAAGATTAAAAACAGTAAGCAGGCCATCAGCAATAGATGTGGTAGCGAGTGGGGAAAAAGATAAACTCACTCCTTGACAGGGAACTAATCAGGAAAGGCCTCCCGGAAGAGATCCGTCTTCACAGCTTTTTTACAGCTGTTTAAATTGGTAATCTGATGGATCTCGTCTGGCAGGCCATTCCATAATCTGGGAGCCGTTGCCGAAAAGGCCCTCTGGGAGGTTAGTCTAGTTTTCACAGGCTGAAATAGGTTCCTCCCAGAGGACCAGAGTGTGCGGGTTGGGTTATATGGAAGG